TTGTTGTTGTTGTTGTTGTTGTAGACGAAAAACAAACGATTACTTCCGCTTCAAGCAGCGACTGCAAATATTTCTGGTGTGTAACGAGTCTAACAAAGAAGTCTTTTAGATGCCACCGAACAAACCCGCATTTCTCGCTCGAAATAAAAAAAGGTAGAATAACAGACAATCATTATCTGAAACATGGTACTCTTCAAATCTCTGGCACATCAGAATTTCCATACACCACAGAAGCATGAAGGAATTTGAATCTTTGGACATCTGCACAACTCTCAGAACACTGGGCAAATTTCATTTTTGTCTGAAAAAGAAGTGCCTTTGCGTGACGGCCTTCTCTTGCCGTTTTTCGCGATGCGCCCAAACTAACTGAACTGAGCTAACCAACTGAACTGAGCTAGGGACGGCCTGGAAATTACGGCTGCGAGAGAAATTTACTGCTGCTGTTCGGCATTTGAATTTAAAAGTAGTAATTTTTTCGCAACAGTATTGACGTCATAAGGTCCTTTGTTACCGCCAGTCACTTCCGTCACGCCCTTGTACGTGTCTGACGCCACAAGTGCGTGAAAAGCCTGAAAAGTGCATATTGATTAATTCGATTCGAGATATAGCTCCTGGTATCTGATTTTAGATTATTCTGCCAAAATGTAATTTACAATTACTAAAAACCTTCACCAAAATTAAACGTAAATTTATATGTTCATCTTCCTTCTTTTAATTTATTGGAATGCGTGACTTGGGTCGAAGCCAGGCCTGTAATGTTGGTAAATTATTTTTCATGCATTGTGATTGTAAATTAATCTAAAGGATAACTCAAGTTTTGCCCAAGACGCTACGAAAAAAGATTACGTCATTTGCGTTAGCTTTATAGCAGAGGTTAAAACTCTGGAAAAAGGTATCACGTATGCAAACAGCTGCGATGGTTCGACCTAAAACAAAGATAATGAGGCTTTAGTGTCCATATCGCAACCTAATTAGGAATATGCAAGCACCTGACTATTTCCCGTGGTAAACACTTTTGATCGGGTATAATTTACTCTGAGAGCATAAAATCGTTTAGCGCCGGCCCCCGCTTTTGGAAAATCGGAAATTGAGTAACAATTTGCCCTCGCTAATTCGCCAGGCCCCTGTCTATGACGTAGATAGCGCTTGCCCCATTACCAAATATGTAACTCGATGTTTTAGTCGTGATTCCGGTCCCAGTTTCTGCACGCCCCCTTTAAGAAGGAAGCATTTATAATAATAACAAACGATATATAAAGGATAGACTGCAGCATTCAAGATACATTGGTTCCGCAAGTGCGTTCAACTGAATTAAGAGTTTGCAAGCTGTGGGAAGAGAAAACGATGCTTCGAACAGCTCTGTTTGCCGTTTTTCTGCAGTTGGCTTACTGTGTTTCTCAACCAGGGGAAATTCAACAGCCACCAGGTAAGAGAGAAGAATTCAGGCTTTTACAGTGCAATACCGATCTAAAGATAGACAGTCTTGAAAAGTTTATTTTTCCATTTTGTCTCTGAGAATTCGGCAGACGAATCGAAATATTCCAATATATTCTTTAGCTTAGTCTCTATTTTCGTTACTTTCTCTCATTGAGTTGTGTGTATTTAAAAAGTGTGATTTACCTGTTTCAAAACTCTATGAAGTTTTCACTTGATCTCAGTTTTTTCAATGTTAATCGACTGAGCTTCAAGTGGAAAAGAAAAATCAATAAAAATAATACCGCTTATCGTAACACGGTATTTTTAATACTCGTCTTGCTTATTCCATAGCTCCGGGTAATGGAAGAACATTGGAAGGAGATGTCTTAGTACGGGCAGCTTTCCAAGTGATTGAAGAGGCTAACACTGATGTTGGAAATTTACGACGTAAGTATTTTTTCAGACGCTAATATATAAGGTCTAACAAAGCGCTTATAGTCACTAAAAGTGTTGTATAATTAAGCAGTTAATTAAAAAGTGATTCGTTTGACTTTTGTCCCTCTATGAGATTTAACCCAACAAAGGATGATCATGTTTTAAACTCAGCATATTTCGTTGATTGCGTGAGTTCTTTTGGTTTCGTTTATGCACCCCATGAAGGTCGTTCAAAGGTGCTCAAACATCATTCTAGTAGCACAAACCAGCCGTCTTTAACAAAACACGGGATTGATGCTGAAAACATTGGCCAAGGTTACTCCAGTTGCCTTGTGTTTTCCTCTGGAACGCAAAGAATGAAGGTCGCTCAAAGGCGCTAACATCCAGTTCTCGTAGCACGAACCAGCCGTCTTTTACAAAACACAAGATTGTTGCTGAAAAAAAAAACTTGGCCAAGGCTACTCCAGCTGCCTTGTGTTTTCCTCTGGAAGCGTAGAGATAGGAATTTTAAAACCTATTCATTGATTTTTCCGCACGAAATAAGGGAGCAAAAACTAAAATACAATGTGTTTTTTGAACTCAGCGCAAAGTCGGTAGAATCAAATATGAAAACCATTGCTCATCACCAGTCTTGCAATATGCGATTTTTACCCATTCTAGTAACGGACAGACACCGAGGCGATTTACATGAAGGAGACATCAAACTGACTCACGCCCAACGACGACTGCTTGGGCTTCCTGTTCAGCGGGGTGATGGTGGACGGCAGAAGCGTGCAGCCATGAAGAGTCTGGCCCGCCGATGGATGGATTCAAATGGCCGACCTGTGATACCGTACCGTATTGAAGGCAGTGTTGGTGAGTGGGGCAACTTAAAAAAGTGTTACCCTAGCTCAACTTATTCTTTAAAAAGGTTGTACCCTAGGGCAACTTGTTTTTTAAAACGTTTTACCATAGGGCAACTTATTCTTTTAAAAGTTTTACCCTAGGGTAACTTTTTCTTCAAAAATTACCCTAGGGTAACTTATTCTTTAAAAAGTTCTACCCTAGGACAACCTATTCTTTAAAAAGTTTTACCACAGGGCAACTTATTCCTTAAAATGTTTTACCCTAGGGCAACTTATTCTTTAAAACGCTTTACCCTAGGGCAACTTATTCTTGGTATCAGTAAGGGGAAAATTTGCAATTTTGCATAATTTTACTTTTTTAAGCGGTTGGATAAATCTTAAAGTAATCTTTAAGATAAAAAAA